CTTTCCACCATGACAAAGCTAGCAATTTTTTTTAACTCCTCCATTCAAAAGTAGGAGCAAGGACATTCAACACAGACTTTCCCTGTGGTCATGTTTCTGAAATGGCAGCTGGGCAGCGGCAGTGGCAGCGGCCCTCCTCCGCCCAAGCTGGACCAAAGGCTTGCACCTCAGTATCTCACGTCCCAGAGTATTTTGTACATTAGCATCTAGCACTGTGGTAGCCTCAGTGCTGACAAGGGTTGTCACAAATACTAAAAAATAGTAAATAAGCAGCCACAGAGGAAGATGTTTCAGCATCTCCTATGTAAATATTACTTAAGGTGGATCTCTGCTCATGGCCAGGGACTACCCTTACTCTTCAGAAAACAACTCCATTGCAGAGGGGAAAATATGAAAAGAAAGAAATCACTTACATGATTGCATTTTGGGCCCTGAAGAAAACTCCTTTGATATAACGAACTTCAAAATACGACATTTAACAGATTTATGCTGTTTGAATAACTTAATCTGAAAGAATCAGGCTGATTTCCATCATTCAGAGATTCATTTTCCTTTATTTGCGGCCACCTGCACAACTTGCTGTCTTTCAATGGGCTGGGTCTTCATCTGGATCTTAGTGAGTGACTCATTTCTATTTGATGCATTTATTTTGCATCTCATATAATCTGAAAACACACTTTTAATGGCAACTGTGTATAATACTTTAGTTCTGTTCTGTTTGTTTTAAAAAGGCAGCCCAAGCTACAAATGATATATTCCTGAAGATGAAAAAAGTGAACACCATAGGAATGGGGAATGCTGTCGCCTGAAAACCGGAAATTTTGCATTGTCAGAGGGGACTGTGCAGAATATCAACTAGGAAGCAATTTGAGGATTTTTAACTACATCTATCCTTCTGTGATTAAACTGGCTGAGAGAATGAGTCATGTTGTTTCTTGACATGCTTGACAAAACACATCTGTGTTGTGGGACTATGGATCAGAAACATCCTGTATTTTACTGTAGCAGCGTTCGCCGAGTTGCACTCCGGTCCCAAGGGTGTTCGGAAAAGAAAATGTGACTGGCAAAGCATGTTTGCTAATAGCAATAGCTGCCAGGGCACTCAATACAATCAGGAGACAAGAGATGTTACTGTACAAGTCCCTGGCTGTGTGGCCAGCCTCTCCAAACTGGACGGTGGCTTTTGGATGCTGAACTTGAGAAGCTTAAAAGGTTCTTGATTTTCAAGACATGTAGCAGTTTCCTTTGAAGACCAAGGCCTCTTTATGGGATCTAGAACCAGAGACGCTTAAAATACCAGCCACACCGAAACACCAGTCACTAGGGGACTAACGTTACGTCGCTTGCTCTGAAACTCTTTGCCTCACCATTTTACTGCCGTGTAGTCCCAGTTCTCAGATGCATTTTCTCTTAAACCCTTTGAATGAAATACATCAGAAACATCCATAGGCATTAATCTTTTTCTGATTAGCATTCCTCTTGGCCCTCGGATTTCACCTCTAGTGCCTTTTCAGCTTTTATGTTCTTCAGCACCAGAGCCACATGGAGAGATTTTAACGCTCAAAGCAGTCCTCCATGCTCAGATTAGTAGTAAAGATGTGAAAAGTATTTATATTGACAAGATAAAAATACACACCCACTTAATGGTTTTTGTTGTTCAGGGGACACTGAAGAAATCCTGCAATTTGACCCACCCAAAAAGTTAAAGTATCAGTGATGTGACCTTTTGCAAGCTGTTTCCCTATGAAGAGGAATATCAGTCATGATTTATGGACTGGTGATGAGTAAGAAATCTGTGCGATTCTTTCTAATTGCCTAAGCTTCTGGGATGAGGAGAAGAGTTTAGAGCCACTGTCACTTTTGCTGCGCAGCATGGTGGTTATGGCATTGCTTTGGAGTGATCCCAGAAGGGCTTATTGTACAAACTATTTAACTTATCTTTGTGGACTCAGAAAGCAAAAAAAAACCCCAATCCAACACAGAGTTCTGGGATCCAATGTAAACTGTACGTCATCCTTTCAGGCACGTTTTCAACAGGTCAGCTTTTTTTTGTTGGCTGATTAATCAAATCCTTTGTGTAGGACTCACAGCACTACATAAACATTAAACTCCTTCTTAGCTACTGGAAAATGGCAGTCCCAACATGCCTTATGGTAGCAATTTTCTTGGAAGCAACAGTTTCTTAGGGCATGGTTGGAATTGCATTTGAAATACTTTTGTCTCTCCCAACGTCAACCTTTATGAACACGCCAAAATAAGTATAATCTTGTTCAACCTTCATTTTCTCCCATCCCAGTAGGAAGAATTCCTGGAAATGTTTTAGGACTCTATAGCATGGAAGCTGCTTCTCAGTTTGCCCAGCTCTTAGATGTTATATTTAACACACAAGGTTTGCCAAGAGGTAATAGGATTTTATTTGTGTGGTTTTGCAAGTGTTTTGGTGAGGGCAGTAAGCCAAGAGAGAAACTGGTGATTCCAGCACAGAGCAATCCTAATTCATACTCAATAATTGCTGTGAGAAAGGCTTGCACAAAGCTCTCTGTTCTATCACTCCTTGTGTAAGTTCCAGTTTTCTGAAAGACAGTATCTAAAAATGCTGTAAAACCTAACTATTGAAATACACTATCACAACTTAAATAACCAAGAATGGTAAGCAACGAGCAGCTGGGTCCTTTGCAAGCCACTTTATCGTCTACCGGATTACCAACAGTTACAAAGACTGGTTATGTCTCTTTAGAAACATATTGCTCGCTAGAAGCCAATCTTTTAACAGTTCACACCATGTGCTCACAGCCACTCTTAGTGGGTTCAGAATTACATAGGAAAGACGGAGTTACAGTAAATTGTGAGAAGCTAGATCTATTTCTTCTTATCGCAAGGCAATCCAGCTTCATTTGTGAAGTCTTCAACAGCAGGAAACTGGTAAAGTTACATATTCCACATGCAAATCTAAGTATGATGCAAAATACTGCCTAATTAGCACTCTGTATAACATTTAATGTTACAGTAGGCATTCTTGACTCAAGACAGGCTTGGTTTTGTGCACAAGTCCCTCTCTAACAGAGACAGCAGGTGAGGTTATGAGAGGCCTCAAGTTCTTGTTTCATGCTCTGCAAAGCCGTACTTTGCCATCCCAATCTGGAACCAGAGCACTAACTGCAAAACCAGAGCACCCATTCTCCTCTCAGTATTAAATGACTGATTGATTCTTCATCTTTAGGACAAGAGGAAATAGCCTCAAGTTGCACCACAGGAGGTTTCGATTGGTCACAAGATAAAATTTCTTCACCACAAGGGCTATCAAGCACTGGAATGGGCTGCCCGGGGAAGTGGTGGATTCCCCATCCCTGGAGGTATTTAGAAGATGGGCAGATGAGGTGCGTAGGGACACGGTTTAGTGGTGGAATGGCAGTGTTAGGTTAACAGTTGGTCTTGATGATCTTAAAGGTCTTTTCCAACCTAGATGGTTCTGTGATTCTATTCTATCTATCTTCTCACTGACAGTAGATACTACCTACTCCCGCCTTGTTGTGCCATGCACGGGATAAACTACATTTTTTCCCAGTGGCTTAACTGCTTACTTTCCTTTAAACCAGTTTCCTCTACCACTAAGACCTCCTCTGATTTCTTGCACCCCTCATTGTCTTTCTTTCCTTACTCTCATCCTTCTTTTTGCCAAGGTCCCTTTTGTTCTTGTGCATCTCTGGATCCAAATAAGGTACAGAATTGACAATTTTTCCAAATGAGAAAAGGTTAGAAAGTAAAAGCAAGAGAACTACAATCTCTCCCACAAGTTGGACAGCGGAATAAGGAAATAATGAAAATACTAGCAACCTGGCTAATGCATTAGGAACCCTCCCTTGGCTTCAAGTTGTTTTGCTCTCTGCTCCATTAGCATTGGAAATAGAACACAAGAAAAAACTTCTAGCGCTAATTCCTGTTGGACTGAAGCAGGTGAATTTGAAGTCTTAAGTATTGGTTAAATACAGATAAAATGCAAGTTACTTCTGTTTGAACTCCAAGAGCAGGCAAGCACCTGCAAAGTGAAATTCTGATAAAATTTCGGTTGCATGTCTTGGCATCCCTTACAATTGCCACGAGTTTAGAAATAAACGTTTACTTAGAAATTAACACATGAATAGCAGCGGCATATTTCTTCTACTTGATGACCAAGTAACACACTGAACTATTTTTCAGGCTTCAACTTCCATACCATTAAAATGTTTTAGGAGCTGCAGCCCCTTTTATAAGATATAGGTCGGCTGGGAGACTTCTCTCTCTCAGCTGTTTTTTTGCAGTTCCTTGAGATCCTGCAGGAGTGCCGAGGGATCTGCTGACTACAGGCTGAAAAACGCTGCTCTAGATCATTGCTCCGTTTTGTAGCTTGTGTAGACAGATCCTAGTAAATGGAAATCGCAGCAATGACACTACACTATCGCAGAGACCCAAGCTTCCTCTAACCCTCCACGTGCTGTGTACTACTGTGCAGATAGCTACCTCAGATCCTCAGTATGGAAATTTGTGGTAAATTTGGTCTAACAAGGTCCACCTCTAAGCAGGGCTAATCAGCTCCCTGCTGAATTGTGAAAGCTGTACTTCAGTCTCAGCTGAATGGAGAAGGTTTGCATTGTATTGTGACAGGATGATGCTTCAGATAAAATGGGTGGATAGTCACAGGAAATTCATGTTAGACATACAATTCAGATTATTTGGCTTTAGATTTTGTCTTCTGGAAACATCTGCTAAGCATATGGAACGTGAACTCCTAAAAATCCAGGTGTTCTGAAACATACCTTATTTCAGATCTAGAGCAGCCACCATGGATATCATCTACTGTTAGCAAACTAACACCCAGTGGTTTTATATGCTTCAGGTTTGTTTGGTTTTTTTAGGCTGGTGGTTTGGGGGTTTTTTTGGCTTTTTTTTTTTTTTTTCTTCACAGAAGGGATGCAAGAAAACTGAAAACAATGCAGAAGTGCTCTTGTATGACACATATTCCAGAACTAGATAGTAACATTACATAAAAGAGTATTACTGAGCAGTACAGTTGCCCTGGCTTTTGAGTTCCTGCATGAGAATGAACCCAATATGGCATGCTCATATTCAAAGACAGAGAACTGGCTATACCACCACCTTCAGTATGCCAGGGTTGTGTATGCAGTTAACACTGCTCAGCGGAACATACTGCAGACAGCACACACTCATTTCCGATGCACAAGAACAGTAGCAGATCCTTGTGGCTACAATTAATAAAAATGGTTGAAACTGTTGTACATGTAGTATCATAAACACACAATATTATACTTCTGCAGTCTTTTGGAGTTGACAAGTTGCAGCAGATTTTGAGAAATCTGATAAGCTACAAGCAAATGCATGTTTAAGGCCTGATGTTCAGAATGTGCAGCTCTAACTTGCAGGTAATGAATGTCCCGCAGCAGAACTTCAGAAAAATATGTCCCAAGACTAAATGGAAATAAAAGATAGCAATTCTGATATCTGAAATTAAAAGGGAAATATATTGCTATGAAATATTTCTAAGAAAGAGGTCTCTATTTTTACCTTGAAATATACATCTTTATTCCACAGTGTTTAATTAGCTTTATGGTCACTTTCTTGGAAACGAAATGTCAATCAAGTAAACAAGTTCACATTTTCAAAAAAAGCACTTACCAGGATGTATCTTAATGATCGTGCTAAACCTGGCAATTTTGCTATAATCATACTTTTCTTCTTTAGTCTACATAATATATTACTCTGTACCACACAGCTTTCATTCTTCTCTTTTCTGCAAACACAACTGTTGTACTCATGTTGGATTTTAACAAGTTCACATGCTCAAAGATATTCTCCCAAGAAAAAAATTATCAGGTCACACACCAACACGGAAATTGTAAAAATAGTAATAAAACTGTTGTTATCCTTACAGGCTACCATCCTGCTAGGTCAACAACCTCTCTGAAAATTGTTAAGGATGGAGGGCCAAATGCTGCTCTTGGCCAACCTCGCGCAATTCCATTGACTTCAAAAGGAATGGATCTGCCCTGTGAGACTTCTTTTGTATAAAAGCTTCCTCAGAAGGAAATTAAGCTTTCAATCTATTCTAGATTTTCAAAAGAGACAATTTATCCTTTATCACTGGGCAAAAATGAGTTTTCCAAAGTATTAATGAATTTCTGTCTCATCCATGCTTTGAAGTTTCGATACCATTCTATAAGCTTTTTTCTCCTTTGAATCTTTTCTTGTAAGCTCATTTTTTTTTCTTTCTCTAGAACAGCAGGAAGCTCTTTCCAGTTTTTAATAAAGATAAATGGAGCCCCCATGGTTTTTAATAATTGTAATGGAGCACTGTGGTACATTGATGAATTTCCGCAATCCCCCGGTGTCGTTATATCTTCTATAACAGGCAGAGATCCATATGAACAAGCTTCATAAATTCTATAGCATTCTGTATTTATTCCCACTGGGCACAGTGTCAAATCACTCTGCAGCAAGGCATCTTGATAGTTTTTGAAACTTTCATTTGTTTCTTGAGGTTGCCACCTAGGAAAGTAAAGGGGTTGAAAATTAACATTTTCCCCACAGGCACTGCAATGAAAAAAATAGATATGCTTTAATTTCAATTATTCATAAAACTGAAAATGCTGTCAACGTAAAAATTTTATATTACACACACAATCAATAGGCTTTTACTTTTAGCCTCAACTATTCTTAAAGAGTCTTCTAAAAATTTATTGAACATGTCACTGTTAAAAATAGATTGTAACACTTTTTAGATATGGTCCTTTTAGGAAATTATTAATACTTAGAAGTCTAAGAGGCAAAGTGAAATGCCATTTTAGATCTTCTGCATGACTTGGATGATGCATATGTCAATTTACTTCACAGCAGAGTTCAGAAATAGACATACAGGGAGACACTCGATGGACTTTTTAATGATTTTTTTTTGGCCTCAAACACTTTAAATCAGTAGAGGTTTGCTCTTCAAAAGTTAGAATGTAAAGCAATCTGTTAACCTGAATCCATCTGCCTGAAGTGCCTCAGAACGTCTGTGAGATAAGAGTTTATGTCACAGATACAATCCATATCCTGAGATTATTCATCAAGGTAGCTGAGGTCTTCCCAAGCATCGCTGTACCTGCTATCAAAGACTTTACAGGTGTTGCTTGGCAAAATTAAGAAATACAATCAGAACTCTATTCCTGTTAGTCAAAAGATCTGTTCTGCCTATCTGAAATAAAAGAGAGGCATGCTGCACAGATGAAATCCACTCTCTTATATGGAAGACAACAAAATACAGCTTTTCCTTCTTTTTCCTTTTTTGCACACAAGGTGCAAGACAAACATTTCTTACCGTAATCAAATGTACACAACAAAAAAAATGATGGTCTTTATATGTAGTATACATAGGAGATTTTTCTATGTATTTAAAAATATGCTTTACATAAAATATAGCAACAGGAAGGCCCTTATGTTATGAAGACCTATATAAAGAGTCTTGGCAATGTTCTCTCTTTTAATGAAGACGGGTTACTTTTATTTGTACTATTTTTTAACACTCAGGGAAGGATTGGTAATAATGAACTAGGCAAAAAAAGTCTGAATATGTTCACAAAGTAAATCAAAGTCTTACTGTTCTCTGGCTGCAATCCAGCAAAGTTTTTCAAGCCCATCCTGCTTCAGAATTTCCATTAGGGTTTCCCTAGATGAGTTCTTATAAACTGTTCCTAAGAAATTACATAGATATGATCTTGGATCATGTAGCATTGACCAGCTGGGTTCTACAACTGGAAAATTTCTGTAGCTGTAAAAACAATGTATACATTAGACATCAATATGTTTTATGTTGAAAAACATTTGGCACCATTTCATCTTTACTGAAGCATATTCTAAGCCTAAACGCACCTATTTGTTGCCAATCCACATCTATAACCACAGACAGACCCACAGGCAAACCAGTGCAAGTCCTGTCCTAAAACTTGGTCTTTATTCCCTTTACCCCCACCACTCTCTTCAGAGACATTCCGGAATACTCACGTCTTCTTTCGACATCAGAGATATTATGTGTGCATGTTACAAAGTGTCCTTGAGAAACATGCTTTTTCAAAAGCAGTCGTTCTTGACGCAATTGCTACTTTTGACTGAAATGGCCAAGTTAACGGTAACTATGGAGTTTAAATCTCAGCTACCTTAATCTCTGGGCATGCTTATCAACCAAAAATACCACTGGTAACCTCTCAGAGGAAAATGTCACTTTGATCTGGGTGGACTTCATTAATCTAGTCTTTCAGTTACTAAATAGCTTGTCATACAAGTTATTTAACTTGTCTTTTTGGACTTAACAAAACCAATGCAAAGTCCTGGGATACCATGTAAACTTATGCCATCCTTTTAGAAGTGTTTCCACCGCATCAGGCATTTTTCTTTTTTTGACTGATTCCTCAAATCTTATGTGACTTATTTTGGTCAGCATGACAGTTAGTGAAACGCTGCTTCAGCTGCAGGGCTGGCACTAACTTTTTTCATTGCGTAAAGTTAAAATTTTTTCTGGAACAGATTAATGTTAAGAAAGTTTCTTCTCCTTTGCATTCTCAAATTAAGACAGGTATTCCTTCTAATGTTACTACTTTTGATGGATCGCTGTTCTACTTCCCTGTTGTTTCTTTTTTTTGTAAGAAAAACTACACCCAGATCCCAATTCTTTACTGGTTTAAAAGGTAGTCTCTATTTCACAATGATTTCTTCACTGCTATTAATGGTTCTCTGAAGACATTTTCACTTTCTTCACCTTGCTAAATTTTGATGGAATGGTTCTTTCCTAGTTCTTCTACGTGATTAATATTAATTTACTTTCAGAAAAACATTTTTTCTTCATGCCAAATATTTTTGCAGGGTTCTGTATCTTTACTTTCTCTCTTCACTGAAAATCTGGCACATCTGCATACCTTTAACCAGTTTTTACAACTGCTGGTGTGCAAGGGCTGCAAACCCCCATTTTGATACCTGATCTGTCTTTCTCCACCTAGCTTTGCACCCCTGTTTACTGTTGTAGCTGTTGTTGCTTTCTGTTACCTGCCTCCTTAATCTTGGCATCTAAAAATGCAGCTTCTTTTTGCTTAGGAACTTCCAATGCCATCAATTCTCTGACACCATGTATTTCAGTGACACTGTCAGTAAGTTCAAACTACGTATAAAAACTCCATACAGTTTGCCAACCAGCTCAATACAGGATACTGAATTCAAATTCAACCCATGATATGAAAATAATTCTATATTCTTTTCATCTTATATTACCATGATAAGTAACTAAACACCATTAACTCTGTTAATAAGGAATAAGCTAGAAAAAAATACATCTAGCTGAACCAAACCTTTATCTACTCCACATAAATAGTTTGAACAGTAAGTATAACAAAAATGTTTTTGTGAGTAAGCAGTTAAGCCAGACTACATTACTGTGATATTGTAGTACACAAATTCCAAAAATGAGGCATAGAATTTCCTTTTGAGAGCCACAACAGGGGTTAAAAATAAGTATCACTAGTACCATCCTTTTCCTTTCCTGAACAAGCAGTAGTTGGAACCTAACTACATATGTATCTTCTGAATTCCCGTGTCACTGGTCCATATTACATCAGCAGTTATGACAAATCTCAAGAGCAAATTTACTGAAGAAAAAATAAAAAATAAACCGAGAAAACCCCACCAGACACAGGTTCATTTTTTTTAAAGCTCCCCAAATCCTAGCGTTCTTTTCCTCTAATTTTTATTGCTAAATGCAATTTCTAAAGATCCCAACCCTTGATTTGCAAAATCATTAATAAGATCATATTCTACAATTTACCAACTATAATTGTTTTGGGTATCAGCAGCAACATTCAGATGCATTTTCCATACCTCATGCATAACAATTAAGTTGCAATTGTAATTTGTGTCTATACCACTTACGTAGCTACTCCTAAAGGCCACTGGAATATATCTTCTTCATTTACCAACGCATAGTCATATGTAACAAAGAGTAGATTTACAAATCCTCCATGTCTTTTTAGGTATGGTTGAATCCATTCATTGTTGCACTGCTCATTTCCAAGCAGCACAACTGCTACATGCTTTATTTTGTGAGTCTGAATTAACGTTTGTGCGTAATGCAACCACTGAGTGGCGTAAGTGATCTTTGCTTTCTCTCTTCCATTCAAGACTAGCACGATACTTTCAGCTTCAACTGAGAAGTAGCCAGGAACTACAGATGGACCAGTGATGAAGCTGTGAAAACCAAAATAGAAATAGTGAACACCCTTAAGACAAATTATTGACCTTAATCCTCTAAACATCCTTAATACACAGTCTGTACTATAGAGGTGGGGTTTTTTTCTCCAATAAAGTAAATGCAATATACTGCAAAGTAACTGTGCAACTATAAGCATTTCTGTTGTTAATACCTACAGCTGTAATACAATAAAGCTGAAATAATTCAGGAAAAAGAAAGCGATGTAGACTTAAATATGTTTTGCTGATAAATCAGAACTACAGCCATATTCAAACATCAAAATGTGGGTAAATCAATCAATCAACTTTAAAAGAAGGATGTGTTTTGATGTTCGCTAAAGGTCAAACTTTTTATTAATTCCAGTAATAACCAATGAACACAATATTAGAACAAGAGAGAGGCCCTCCCAAAAAACTCTTAAGAGTTTGGTAAACTAAACCAAGTATCATTATGAGGGACAACTGGTTTGGCATACTACTTTTCTCTGTAATTTTGGTGAAGTTAAGGTTAGATCAAAAAAAGACTGCATCATCTGATACTGAGCAGAATCTGTAAGACAAGAGGTATGTATCTAAATGTAAGCATAAGTTGCTTGTGTGACCCAGGTCAAACTTGAGGCTTTGATACAAGCTAGTCAGCAGAAACATTTGAGGTAGAAAATTGCATTTCTACATCTTGCACAATATATTTATTTGACAGAGGAATTTCAATCATGTAGCAAAATCATTACATCACTGATAATTTACAAATATCTGACAACAGCCATTTATGAACTGCAGTGAAGCTAACCAGTGTTTGCCAGCTCCTGCTCTTCAGTTAACTGCTGTGTTAACAAACTATTGACTGAACTCAAAGGATTAGTGATTACACAGCTTGAGAAAGAGTGGATGGGAAAAAACCTACCAGGTTTTTTCTTCAGGGGTCAACGAAATGTTAGTCTTCTAGGTCTTCTGCATTACTGCAGTTTTTCAGCTACTGGCTAAACTTAATTTAGAATGAACATGAGTTTTAACTCATGAAGCGCTAAGACTAGTCAGCTAGTTTCAGTTCAAGTGTGCTCACGAGGAAGAAAAATTCAGAGCAAAAGCTGTATAGACAGTTAGGCTATCTGAAGCAGCCTGACCTTAGGCAAGCATATGCTAAACCTCAGTTATGCTGACATGCTGCTGGCTCAGTGGGAGTGGCATATTTTGAAGCCAAACTTCATGAGACTTATGATTTGGAATCAAGACTTTTAATAGATTGAATGTAAGTCAGGTCAAGACTTAAATCCAAAGGTTGACAGACAATGAGAAAAGATCACTGGGATTCATAAGGGAGAACACCCTGAGCATCAAAATGCCTGAAAAGTGAACAGGATACGTAGCTGATCCAACCATCACCTTGTAAGAAGAGACCTGGGGAAAAACAGTTTTCTCTATGGACACAGTGCTGTGAAGCTATCAACTTTACAGGAATAACAGGATGTACAGTTGGGGAAGCAATGACCTGTGTGTAGGAAAATATGAAGTTTAATACCATAAAACTACAGCGGGGAAAAAAGAAACACTACAGAAATCCCATAGCTGAATAACAGAAACACGGTGCTAAGATTGCACTGTTAACTTCCAGTCTGAATACAAGAGGGATTGGGAAATGTAAGGGAGATCATGGAAGCTGCAAAATTAACACAGTAGTACTAAAAGATTTTCACTACTCACATGTAGGCTAGATCAATGCTTCGTCAGGATGATATGTGGAGATGACATTTTTGGACTCAATAAACGACTTGCTTCCTATAAAGTCCTTGTTTTTCCTTACTAGTCTTAGAACCCATACAAAAAGCTGCTATTCCAGACTGTGTCTTCCAGACCTAATTCCAAAGGTGTTAGTCAGACAGCTACTCTGTAATAGCAATATGATTAAGTTTAACACTGCAGCAGAAGGCAACATACCAAATACATCCAGAATATAGATACCTGATGTGCAGTAAAAGAATTACTTAAAAATGACACAAGAAAAGAACTCTGAAAGGAGCAGCCCAAACAACAAAAAGCTTGCAAGCAGCTTGTAGGCTGTTCAGAAACACTGCATAAGAAGCCCAGACACGCTGTGTGCGTCAGTCCAAAAAGGAAAAAACCTCCCCCCCCCCAAACCCATATGGCTTAACAGAAAAGTTAGGGGGGCTGTCAAAGGGTGAAGGTCAGCATCAAAAACAATGAAAAGGTTGCCCAAACAAGGAGGACAGCAAAGTGCATAAAATACTGCTGATGAAACGCAAACAGAAAATTAAGGGTAAAAAAAGTAATTTGAAAAGCACCTTTGTGGATGTTCTGGCTTATAAGTAAAGGTTCTTTAAATACATGAAAACCAAAATATGTAAAAAATATACCAAAAAGACAACTACAGAACTGGAGAGACTACTTGATGACAACAGTTTAAAAAGGTTTAAAAAAGAATGACAAGGCCATAGCAGAGAAGATTTCCACACCTCTCTTCAGCAAGAAATACAAGGCCAAACACCAGAAGTGTTATATTAAATGGAGAATTTGGACCTGGATGGCATTCACTTGAGAGTTCTCAAGGAATGCAAATGCGAAAATAGCAGAACTGCTGGAAAAGGAATGCAGCTGTCATTACGAAGTGACACTGTGCCTGATGAGAAGGGGCCTGCTGGTGTCACTCCCATCTACAAAAACAACTTGAGAGGACTCTGGAGCAGAGAAGTATGACTTCCCTCTCTGCAAGAGTCCATAATAAATAGTAAGATCACTGGATCTTATCAAAAGGCATGATCACTGATCACATATGCAGATAGACGCTGCTGGAAATGAGTAATCCTGTCTCACTGATCTGATGGAGATCTACGAGCATCTCAAAGAGAACACAGATAAAGGAGATCCAGTGGATAGAGTGTATTTGGATTTTCAAAAAGCTTCAACAAAGGCTATTAAGGGAACTAAATTGCCACAAGCTATCCTTGGCGGAATGCTTTGGCAGGTAAAAAAAATCTTTGCTGGTTAACTTTGTTGACCAAAATGCTTTCATTCTGGCATGAATCAAGATGGTTGCAATTTGCATAAGGAGAACAGGAGGATGGGACTGAAGAACTGCTGAGCAACTGGGGCTAACAGGGACTGAGGAAAGGCAGCACTGAATGTTAAACGAGAGAGGGTGTGACTCTCAGTGAAACAGAAATTTAGGAATGCTCTTACTTAAGGATACGAGATAAGAAGTTTGGCCCTCCCTGCTCTATAACACCCTCCTAGATGACAGAAGGATGTGAATTGCTTCAGGCTAAGGAAAGTGCTAAACCCTGCTCTCCTACTTCTTATATGTAAGTGCTAACAGTGTCACTAAAATCCACAGCTATGCAGCTCCTTCTCCACCCGTGTTTTTAAATAAATGTCCCTGTATTTCACATAGAAGTTGATATTTTTAGTACTCTTTAGGCAAATTCTTTGGTAAAAACTTGAAGCCATCAAAATCTATATTAAATAAGTGTACTCTCCATTGTAAATAAACAAAATGGGCTTATTCATGCAACTGCGTTCAAGTGGTATTCTGGCATTTTTGTGTCTTTAGATTTGATACTCTTTCAAAACATTAATGAGAGCTCTATGTTTTAACAATCGTTAGACTTATCACAAAAAACTGCTCAGCAGCACATATTCTCCGAATATGCCACCTAAGCTAGTTCCCTCTAGCCTCATCTAGTAATCAAATGGAGATAATTTACCTCAGCCAGGCAATAAAGAAGTCAATAATTCTAGAAAATCTTATAACTAGTGAGCAGCCAAAATCATGTACTGATTCTTCCTCACAAAAAAATACAAAATAACATTTCCAACTTGACTAAAAAGTAGAACTTCAGCTATTTCATTTCAGAATCCTAACCACTAAAAGAATAGTTGTATTTGCCTATTTTCTATACTTTGCACAAGTTCATACTAGCCTGTCAAATTTTAACCTCTGTTATGTTGGTACCAAACTTAAGCTTTGTATTTTTATAGGATCTAGCATCCAAGTTGGTTAAAATAAAGACTCTATTATCCCTGATTCCTCTAAACATAACAAGAACTTATTTAAATGCTAGTATAGAAGTCTGTCTTTGAGAGATGCATGCCCTTAGGAACCATGTGAAGTTATTATTCATCTGAAACAGGCACACCAGGGAGAAAATAACCATAATCAGTCAAGTGACAGACTCATTAAGTGCAGCAAATTATTTTCATATTATAAACATGAAAAGCAAGGCTTGAAAAAAATCCTCATGTCCATACCAAGACAATCTATCTGGTAGAGTGTCAGTGATTTCTACAGTTTCTGAGATTTTAATTCCAAAACCAAAAGCCTTTTCCCACCAAGGTAACACTACAGGCACTGCTCCTTATTCAAAGACAGTATTGTATCCTTTCTCCAAATCACTGAATGGAAAGCTCTATCGCTCTGTCAAGGAGACTACCAAGATGCAGCATCATCATTCATAGTTGATTCCCTAATGTTGTAGGGTCAGATTATATTTGCAGACAAGGAATGCAGCTGGTTTTTTAAAGAGTATGTAATTTCGTCTATTTCCTTAGCTGTAAGACAGACACTTTAATAATTGCTATGTTTACATCAAGCCCCCGTGTCTTTCTAGAAAACATTTTTTAATCACTTATGAATGCAATGTAAGCATTACTGAAAAGATTCTATGGCCTGTACCATGTACACAGTCAGATACGCTGATAAACAATTCAAAGGGATAAAAAACTTTTGTGATTACTTAAAAAACCCCTTTCAATTCACACTCATGTATTTACTTCAAACATTATCTGCAAATTTCAGCCAGAACCCCCTGCCTTATTGTGCGAGGAAAGCACCTTTCTGAAGCAACACATTTTTTGGAAGTTAAGTTCACTTGAGTGTGTCATTTATGCTTTTAAAGAAAACTTTTTTAACAGATGGGTCCTGGTGCACATGACTAAATGTTGTAGGAGAGCTACTACTGCAGGCTGGCAAAACTGGCCAAACAGATGAAAAATCCTTCAGCTTTCACTGTATCTTTACAGAAAGCCTAAAAATGGTATTAAATAGGACCTTAAAGTTCTGTATCATTCACTAAATAATATAAAACATTTGACAACAGTCTCAAAACATGCGTGATCACAGATCAAAATCCATTTTTAAAGTGAACAGTGCTTCAAGTGTCATCTTCCTTTACATGTCAAATTTTGCTTTGCAAATAAATTAGTTAACCAGATGCTAGGTTTCACAGATTGTTTCTGTTATAAATAGAAACAAATTATTGTTTTGATACAACCCTGTTTATGAATGAATGAGTGAAGTCCCTGAATACAACAGAAAACAAATAGCAGGAGACATCTTCTTGCCTCACAATCCCACGCTTCTTTCAGTCAGCTGTCAGCCCCAAACCCCAGGTTTTAAGATTTTTCTCAGGGTTGTATTTCCCCGCTTCCTGAGGTCTCTCGGCTTTCCTCTCAGCATCTGTAAGTCTTTCCATGTTTCTTTCAAATACACAAATCTTCATAAAACAGCAGATGAGATTGCTCCCTAGTTTTCTGTTTTTTAATAGCGACGTGTTTGGGCTAGAATTTGCTAGTTTTATCAACTATGTATTTCCATAAATAAACGTAACTATTCCTTGTGATAATTCTGAATGAGAAGTTGTGTGCATATTCCTCATGTATCAAAACATAACAAAATTAAAGCATTTGCAGCTGATATTAAAGTAACTGCAACTCTGGGATAGACAAAATAATGCACCTGTGCATCTTACCATGTTCTTCAACTTTGCAATGCATTATTTGTTGAAGTTAACAAAACTGAAGTCAACATCATGCAGCTACTACCTGAAATATGTTTTCCCTGCTTTTTGGCTTCCTTCTCTCCACTGTGCTGTCACATCAGCTGGCTGAAGGTGCCCTCCAAAGATATGTTGCCAAAGGTAAAGACCTATATAAATGAAGACATGATGGAGAATTTGAATGCATGGATCTTGCCTACTTTATACTCCCAGCAAATAAAGTACTTCTGGGAAATAAAAAAGCGTAACACCCCAAGAACTAGGGGGAAAAAAACATCAGAGCTTCCTATACAATATGGGCATTGTCTCCCAAATTCTGTATAACTTGGAATTAGTTAAGATTAATTTTTCACACATTGGGGCATTTCAAAAGATTCTTTGGCTGTCAAACTATCAGTACATGAAGGTATAACACACTACCATGTATATTAGCATCTCTTACTGGTACACCTACCACTTAAAAATGATCCAATATTAACCACCATTTTAACAAGAGGCATAGTTCTACTAAGCTTTTGTGAAACACATCACATTTTTGTGACAGAATGCATCACCATGTAATATACCATGTTCTACAATGCTGCTTGAAAGCTCAACTTAAACTGGAAATTTTACATCTTCAAAAAAGCTAAAAAAACCCAATGAGACGTCTTCAGCAGCAGCTAAAGAGCTTCAGAGGAACCTGACCTCCAGTTTCTATATAGACTTTGTGTCTTCTACAACGGAAGAATTTCCAAGCTCATCAGTGGCAGTAGTACTGCAGTACAGAAAATGCCTGATTTCTCCCTGTGTGACACTTTATTTCACAAAGTGTAAATGTGACAAAACCAAATAGCCTGTTAAAGTCAAGTAAGAGGCATGTCCTTGTGTTGTAGTGTAAGCTAGTTTGGATTCAAAAAGTAACTGTGTTTCTCTGCCATTTGAACCATTTTCTTTGACGGATGTGAAAAATAGTCCTGAAAAGAACTGACACAAAGAAACTGGAGTCTAACTACTCTTATATTGGTATGAACATAATTTCGAGTAACAGCTACCACTTCCTTAATGCTCTTCATGTACAGATATCCACATTTCTCAACCATATACAGAAATTACAGTCATTAAAAAAAAAAAGCAGAGGAAAGTGCTATATCAGAATGGTTAAGCAATTAACTGACCCTCACTACACCTGCTTACCAATTGCTGCTTTGCCCCAGATCTGTACTCTAAGACTGGGTTGCTCTAGGTGAGATCTTGCATTTTTTATCATCTTAAGATTAGCTTCGTATCTCTGCTGAGAAGCAACCAGTTCATTCTTCTCGTCCCCTTCCCATGGATTCCACTCTTCATTTCCCAAGGCAACGTGATCTAAGAAACCCCAAAGCAGCATTTACATAAAAATAACAGATTTACAAGTTTAGAAAACTGACGAATTTTTTTGAATTCCGAATTTCAAGCAGCACCCGACAACCCTCCCACCGACCCGGG